CATACATAACATACATACATACGTAATCAAGTGGCCCAAAAAAATAGGAATTTACATAATGATCATACAATGACGCCAACAAATGTGCATGCACCAAATGAAGATACCACACATGTTGTTAGGTGAACTGTCAGACTTGCCAACTCATCCCTTCAAAGTGACACTAAGCTCAGGAGTTAGACCATAAAAACGTATTCAAGTATCTTAACAATACTCTACCTCATTAGTATCTCACTCAGCTATAGATCCTCAAATCATCTATGAATTGGTGCCGACACTGTCCTTCCTTCTGGAGGGTGGCTACTTTTGTTCCCCATGGTCCCCGTGTGTGTTGAAAAGTAGTCATCGCTCCAAGCTCACTCCTGAGATGGACTACAATCTCAATACAAATCAGTAAACTAAAACAGGAGATTGGAGTCCATCACAGGAGTGAGCTTGGAGCGGTGACTACTTTACAACACACACAGGGACCATGGGGAACATCTGCAAAGAATACAAAGACGGCAATTATCTAGAAGTATGTGTTTGTAGATTGTCATCACTAAACATTTCTAAAGGTGTCTTTGTTGTTATTTTAAAGATATGGGTAAAGGTCTCCTTTAAAGTACTTGAATGCATTTTTAAGTTTTAACTCCTTAGTTTACTGCCACTTTAAAGATGGTCACAACTGAGCAATGCAAGGATTTAAACACCTGGCCCAAATTGATTATAAATGTTCAGACATAATTAGGGTCAACCTAAAATCATTGACTGTGAAGTCAGCTTTATTGTGCATTCTCATTGGAGCAATCATTGTGCATTCCAGACCATTTCATGTTGTGGACACTATGCATCAACACAAGAAAAAACCAGTTAAAGATACCAGTCATGAGAGAAATTCCAGGACAGTTGTTTTTTAGACATTCTATTGTGAATGCCAATTGCCTGGGTGTCCACAATATTCTCTGAATCTCTGACCCTGCATGCAGAGTATTAAGCAAATATGGGGGGGAGGGGGCCTGGAGAATTACATTTTCAGGAGGTAGTCAGCAATCTAGTCTTCCAATTTCTCTCATGACAAGTTTCCTTTTAGAGCCCTGACTTTAAGATTGTCAGGTTTTTATTTCTGTGTATAACCCTTTGGCTGGGGTTTACCTTTATAGAGTCAGTCACTGGAAGGAGAAAGGATAAACTGCTACCAGTGTGAAATGCAGGGACCTAGGAGGTACCTAAATATACTTATTGCAGTCTCCCAACCCTTCCTGCCACAGCCAAGTCTTAGGCTCTCCTGTCATCATATCACTGATGCTTGCCCGCCTCTTACTCCCACCTCCGCATTCCTACTGGCCAGTCTGGCTGTCCATCATAGTAACGGGGGCAATAGGAAGATGTGGGAGTAGAGCTTTAAGGCAAGCGTCAAGATTATCTGGATGTGTTGGAGCTTTGTCTATCATTTCACATTGAGAAGAGTATTTTTGGAGGCTTC